ATTATTGTATAGTATCAATTATATTCATACGTTTTCGGGATATAGAAATTTTCGAACTGAATACTGCAGCAAATACAGGAATATTCCCTTATTTTTTTGGAACACAATATTTTACTATGTTTTGGTCCGTTGAATTATTTTTGGTTTCATTTATTCTATCAGTCTATCAGGTCCATCAGTTCTTAAAGGTTTTTGTATAGTCATCATTGATTTTAAGAATTTATCCTGGTCTATTTTAGATTTTAGGTTTTGCTTAAAAATGTCTAAACATTGAGGATCAATCTCAGACACTTTACAAAATGGTTTACCTACTTTTATATTTATGGATACCGTAAGATGGTACAACTTGGGACAGTTTTAATCTTTAAACTGGCTTAACTTCTAAACTAATATAGGTACACTTTTGATTTTAGTGTCAAAAGTTTACTCTTAGATTTCTTATTAACACCTTTATAGTTTTAAATATTTTAGTTTTACTTAAGGATATTTTTAATTTTTTTTATTTTTGTCCCAAGTTTAACGCATGGTGCTACAACTTGGACCAGTATACTAAGAATGCTTAAAAATCATGTTTTCAATACCAAACACAACTTGGGACCTAAAAAAACTTTTTAAACATTTTGTTTTGTAGTAATGAGAAAAAAATTTTTAAAAATACCTGAAAAATATATTATGTAAATATTAAAGTATTATTTTATTAAGTTACCTTTCTTTATCATTTCTTAACCGATCTCCGAGCTTACGAAATTTTTATTTTGGTTTTTAATCTTATTTAAAAGTAAGTATATAAATATTGGGCCTTTGACGATTTAGAGCCCGATTTAAAGCTTCGTTCCATCCTACCAAATGATTAATTCTACGAGTACCTTCTGTTTCAAGACGGTTCCACATTTTACGGCAAAGTGCCTATATCATCATTTTAAAAAATATCAATAAAATTGTCCATGAGTCTTATTATTAAATTTATGTAATCATATTTAATAATAATTAGAAAATATTTATCTATACCTATATAATTTATATTAAGTTTTATATTTTAAGGATTAGTCCAACATTATTGTCCAACATTCGTCAATTTTATCCACTGGGACTAATTGCTAATGCGTATATTCTACGGACAGTTTAATTTCATTGTTTTTTATCCCTCTGATAGTCCTACATTCTGTACCTTACGCCACATGGACTGTCCAAAATGGAACAAATAACCTTTTATTTTAGTTTGGTTCCAAAATAACTCCTAAATTGCCATAATCGTGTTCCTATTTCAAAGTCAATTTGAAAATATTTAGGATGGAATATTAAATACATTCTTAACGGCGCTACTTTAATTATATTGAACATTCGCTTGTACGTCTCAGAATTCTCATTTGGTAAAAACTAAAAGTTCATAAGCCTCAAAAGTAAATTGTGTTATGTTTATTTAAAAATGTGTATCAGTGAAATATTATTTCAAACTAAAATCATAGTTTTATTTTAACCGCACTGACCCGTGAACTTGCAGTTATTTATATTCTGCATATTTGTAGGTCTGTGATTTATACCTATATATGTATAATATATTGATCGATGTCAATTGTTAATAACCATATTGTGATGGGCATAGAACGATAGAACTAGATAGTAGATAATATTACCTTATAGCTGTAAAAAATTGCAAAAAGCATGTAGTAGCCATTATATTCATTTTCGACGAATCGGGCGTCATTCGATTGCGTCCCGTTACAACCTTTTATGCCTTACAGTGTTGCGATTGCATCTACAATAGTCGTATAATATGTAAATTATTTTTTCCTTTCTATTTTTATGTTCAGATTGCATCCTATATTATAATTTATAATATATGAATATTCAATTACACTATTTTAATATTATTTTAAAAATGGCTAATGAATACATTCGTAGTCTTAGAATCGATAGATTGGGAAATTAATAGTCATAATAAAAGTATAGTAAATATTTTGTCAGTGTCATTCAAAAAACATTAAGAGGACGTGATACCCGCATGTGTTTTCTCCGTCTTACAAGTGCGTAACATAGCAAATTTTACGCTTAGCAGAACACGTGTAGCTCCATTAGTTTGACATTTAGACCGAATTGACCTCTTATAAAATCTAAAGGTAAGATTATTTTCTAAACAACCTCATAGGCTTTTTATTATATTTTAATTTTTACCTGAGTTATGAGTATTTTAAAACTATACATTGTTTGAACATCTTAAAATACACATAACTCGCTTTAAAATTAAAATATATTAAAAAGCCTATGAGATTGTCTATATAATAATCTTACCTTTAGATTTTATAAGAGATTAATCAGCTCTAATTTTTAAACTACCGGAGCTACACGTGTTTTGCTGAGCGTAAAATTTTCCATATTACGCACTTGTAAGACAGAGACAACACATGTGGGTATCACTTCATCTTAATACAAAAATAAATAAAAATCAGTAGAAATACTATATAGAATTAAATAATTTAAAAATACGTTTCTGATCAGTCAGTGTTATAAAATAATTAAAGGTGAACGGAGTGGCCAAGGGGGCTAAGGTGTCGGTTGCGACGCGCACCGACGCCGGTTCAGCCGCGAGCACCATTTTTCTTCGGGCAAGTCACGGTGTCCGGAGAGAAGTGCCGCCATCCCCCACCCGGCATGGCAGATACCTACGAGTGCCCACTAAAAATCTGCCAAACTAACAAACACACGTGTCACGTACCCTCCCCCTCAGTTAAAAACCACCCAATGGCTCGGAAGTTGATAAAAAAAAAATAATAATAATTAAAATACAAAAACAATAAAATTCAGTCCAAATATTTAGGATTAAATAATTTAAAAAATCTATCTTCTTGTAATTTTAAAAAAGTATTTTTAAGTGAAATAGTTTTAAGGTAGGTATTGTCAAGGCCGAAGGGGATATAATTTTATTTTCTAAATTGTTTGTTTGTTTATCAATAAATTCTTGTTTTTTTAAATACTTTGCTCTGCGTCTTAGCTATACCATGAGTTGTAAATTTAATTATTGTAATGACAATATCAATCATTAACAGTACCGACCAAGCTCATGACATAACATTTTCGTAAGCTCATCAAGTAAAAACCAATGTTTAAATAGATCTGCAAACCATAGGGCCATAGGGGTCAAATATATTAGATTTAATATGTCAATTTATGTGTTACATTAACGCTTACCTACAGCACAATAATAGGTAAAGTACGCAACCAGACACAGAAAAGGTAAGAAAAAAATCGTTTACCTGAGTCTGTGACGCAATTGACGGTCCCTGGGTGAATTGGGATTTGTTTAAAAAACTATTAAAAATTGGGGTTTTGGTCAAAAAAACCTCGGTGAACTGAGATCAAACAAATTGCTTACAATTGTATTGTTACCTACTTAAGAAAATACAAATACTGCTGTATAAGATGTGATTTTATTTGACATCTCAGTAGGTACCTACATAACTAAACTGTAATCTGTTTTTATGTTTGAAATATATCTTTAATGTCTGTTGTATGCGAGAAATGTACATGCACAGATTATATTATAACCACTTTGTTGCAAATAAAGGACTGGCCGAAATCGTAAACTACAAATTAATATAATTATATAAATGTTGTTAACATTAAATCGGTACCTAGGTACTTGAGAGTTGTATGGAAAACACCGATCACTTTATTTGTATACCACGACTAGCTGAGTTATATAAAGCGAGTTAATTCTAATGAATAAACAGAAACAAAAACAAAAACAATTAAATACAATGAAACCTCTCTTAATGGACACCTCTAAATACGGAACATCTCCAAATAGCCGATGTTTTTTTGGGAACACACTTCCAAATGTCTACAAACTAAAGCCTCTGAATAGCACACCTCGGACACCTCCGAATAATGGACAAATTATCGGTAACCGAGAGCGTCCGGTATTTAGAAGTTTCACTGTAGTAGATATATAAATACATATTCCAAATATTTTTAAAAATTATTATTAGCCGTGTCTGAATTTATTACATTAGTTCAATTTAATTATCAATTTTTTATATTTGTAGTAAGCGGTGGCTGTGTTTGTAATATTAGAATGTGTTTTTAATGATATCTGTTGATAATATTTATGATTAATGGCATTCAATTAATTTTTTGTTGTTAATACCAAACTACGAATATTTAAATTAATAGTATGTGTTTTAATACTCATTTATGGGTGACCTCTGCAAAAGGGCACATGATTCATTATTAAACTATAGATGATTAAATATTGGGCTTAGATTTTTTTTAAATTTTAATGAAAGGTTCAAACTGCAAGGTACAACACGAAGAAAGAACTTCCGGTTGAACACTTATCGTATTATTAATATTATTATTTACAATCTATTTATCTGAACGTTTCTCATCAAAGTTCAAATAGTGTAATTTGTCCCGTTCAATATAAGTACTTTCTAATTTTTTTTATCGTGTGGTTATTTTCAAACTAGATTATAATACTATGATGATATCGTGTTTACTAAAACATAGGTTTAGGGTCAAAGGTTACAACACAGAAAATAGTGTTTCCAGTAGACGACTACCTATAACATTATAACATATCTTATCTTACAACGATTATTTACATTTGTCCGAATACAGATGTCGTGGTTTTCAGGCTCGAACAGCGGTAAGAACTATAATATAATAATATATTATAATAAGCCTATAATATACAGTAGGAACTTAACTGATAATGGGCTGCCGGTGGGGAGGATACGAGCACCATAAATACGACTGCAGCTGAGACGATGCCCTCCTGTATATCAGAACACAGAGGACCGAAATTATGCCTGCTGGTGGTACTCGTCTACAGTTGTTTGTTTTACGGAACCCAGCGCCAACTGCAAATACCATCGCCATCGTGGTCGTCGACATATTATTATTATATGGGTATGTATTAAGTTTTCGTTTCTCACTTCATAGCGGCTAAAAATGTAACGCGTTGATTGATATTGTAGTTAATTATTAATTTTTGGAGATCGATGATAGTCGTCCGGATTGTAATTCACGAAAGCCTGAAAATAGCGAAAAGACCATCAGAAACGACCACAGTGGATGAACTCAGCGGTGACTTGGGATCTGAAGCCGTGCGCAGGCGGCAACGACAGCGATCATGGATCCGGTACCTCAATGATATTTGCGACTTTGGGAAGCCGCTGCATCGTTGGGTAAGTAGGTTATAAGAAATGATAGCTTGAAATGCGTGAATGAAGGCTGATCTTCAATAGTTTTAATCGAATATAAAAGTATAAATTGCACCTATTTATCCCCTAATGATAACATATTAATGGTCAGTTTTTTTAAACTTAAATGTACCAATCTTTTGTCAATTATACCGATGGACCTGATGATGTGAAAAGACTTCTGAAAACTGATTTTAATTCGTTGATATTATGTCTACTTGAGAATTGAGATTGATGAGGCCATATTTTAGGATATTTAATTCAAATAATAAATATTTAAACAAAGCTTATAGTAATTGAAGAACAAAATTTCAATAAAGTGGCCTGATCGATTTTAAGGATCTGAAGACGTAGACTTAATACTAAATTCAAATTACTTTTCAAAAGCATAACCGTAGTCACTGATTGACAAAAGATTGGTACATTTTGGCTCGAATATCTGACCGTAATCGTGATATTTATTTAGTTCTAATAACCACTAAAAACATCATTTCCAACCTATGACTTCATCAGGCCATAATAGGAATACAAATAATGAAAAAGGTTCACTTTGGGCTGTTATCTTCTTTGAATATTTGAAGTTCAGGAACTTAGGTTCCAAATATGTTGTCTGGTCTTTCCATATTCCTTGTTTCGCGGTAGGTGAATTAGGTGAATAATAACTGCTATCTGTATTCCAATTATTAATTCAAATATATATAAGATTTCATTTTACAGTGTAAGAAATAAGGTTTGTCCAAGACTGTTTTTTTATTTTTTGTTCAATAATAACTTTAAAACCCTTGAAAATTAGTCATTCAGGCACTTGCATATAATAACTCAGTTTACCTCTAAATATAAAATGTTTATTTATAGTGTTATAAAATAGAGACAAACATTTCATGGGAAAATAATTGGTATATTACATAAATTATATAAAATTATTTTAGATTTCTATCTTTGGTTTTTCAATAAAATGTTCACTATAACTCAATGCCTACTGAATTTTTATTTTTAAACGTTTTTACTAATTTCACTCAATTACATTCAATTATAATCAACAGAGTATTTGTTCGATAACATTGGTAAGACGTAATGTGCTAAACATTTTCACGTTAACTGGTAATAACAAATATAACATCAAAGTCTAAAACAATATTTAGTACAACAGCTACAACTAACCTTTTTTTAAAATATTTTTTTTTAACTAAATTAATATTAAATTTAGCATAGTACCTTATAAGCATTTAAAGTTTAAATATTGACAAAATACGTAAAAATGACGAAAAATTTCAAATTATTTCGAGTAAGAAATTCATAAAAAATTTTCTTTTTAAATATAAGATTTAAAAATGTCTACAAAAAACTCAAATTAAATTCTTATGAGCGTTAGAAATTCATATTTTTACAACATTTGATATTCACTAGATTTTCTTATTTTGTTGTAATTAAAAAACGAATGACTGTAGATACTTGAAAATTTCACTGAATGTTTATATTAGAATTTCTTATACACCATACAATTTTGAAAATATTTTGACTCTTTTTGAGCTGTTTACGGATATTTTCAGTTTTCAATTTTTTTAGTTTTTTTTTCCTATAAATTTCAATATAATCTTATTTGTTTGGTAAAAAAGCCTGAAAATTTAATTTTGTATTATTGTACAGCAGATCGACTTTTTTCACTTAAAAATTCAAAAACTGTATCAGTTAAATTGGTATTATTGAAATCTTGTGGATTTAAGTATGATATACCTTCAAACAACCTGCTATGAGTACCTATCAAATTGTTTTTCCAAACTGCCGATTATTTGAACATAAATCACATTGTAAACATTTATTTCAAATTTTGGATGGGTTTGAGGTTGGCCATGCATATTTTCTAGACATTTTTTTTTTTTTATGACATTCTTTTAGCTGTAAATGTGTTTTGTATTTTTTCGTTTTTGCATGATAGATGCATAATAATACACGATAAGTTACTAGTTGAAATATTGTTTCAATTTTCTACTTTAGCATCTTTTCTGGTAGAAAAATGAATATAATTGGTACTTCAGGGTATGGAATGTAAAATATTTCCAGTTGGTTTTTGATATTTTGTTGAGCTATTTATATTTTATAGGAATAAGAGATTGTCGGTTTTTTTTTAAATAATTACGATAAACAAATGTAAAAAATTGTTCAAAAAATTTAAATTTGAATACAAAGTTTCTAATACAAAATTGCATAAAATTCGTCAAATTTATTAATTAGAAATAGATTAATGAAATACTAAAAAGGTACAAAATGTATTTTAATTTTCTCAAAATAGTTCAAGGATGTTTGTTCCAATATCACAATCAAAAAATATCTGAGTATTTTTATGAGAAAATTGCATAATATTCGTCAAGTTTATTTATTTATTTTAGTTGTATGTATTATTAATAAGGCACAAAGATGTTACTATATTAAATAAATAATTCATTTATATTCTTTACAAGATAACAATCGTGACGAAAAATGATAACAAAAGGTTTTTTGGTGATAAATTGAATACAATTCGTCAAATTTATTAATTAAAATTAGATTAATGTTCTATTAAAAAGGTACAAAAATGTATTTTTTTCCTAAAAATATTTCCCGTATTTTTTGTTACAATATCACAATCAAAAAATACCCGAATATTTTTATGAGAAAATTGCATAAAATGTGTCAAATTTATTTTTTTAAATTAGTTGTATGTAATATTAATAAGGTACAAAAATGTATTTTTTTTCCTAAAAATATTTCCCGTATTTTTTGTTAATATTTCACAATCAAAGAATACCCGAATATTTTTATGAGGAAATTGCATAAAATGCGTCAAATTTATTTATTTAAATTAGTTGTATGTAATATTTATAAGGCACAATAATGTTATTTTATCAACTAAATAATTCATATTTGTTACAAGATATCAATCAAAAAAACCAAAGGTTTTTTGATGATAAATTGCATACAATTCGTCAAATTTATTAATTAAAATTAGATAAATGTTATATTAAAAATGTACAAAAAATGTATTTTTTTTCCCAAAAGTATTTCCTGTATTTTTTGTTACAATATCACAATCAAAAAATACCCGAATATTTTTATGAGAAAATTGCATAAAATGCGTCAAATTTATTTTATTAAATTAATTGTATGTAATATTAATAAGGTACAAAAATGTATTTTTTATCCTAAAAATAATTCTAGTATTTTTTGTAACAATATCACAATCCAAAATATACTCGAATATTTTTATGAGAAAATTGCATAAAATTCGTCGAATTAATTAATTAGAAATAGATTAATAAAATACGAAAAAGGCACAAACATGTATTTTTTTCCTAAAAATAATATTTTTTGTTACAATATCACAATCACAAAATACCCAAGTATTTTTAGGAGAAAATTGCATAAAATGTGTCAAATTTATTTTTTTTAATTAGTTGTATGTAATATTAATAAGGCACAAAATGTATTTTAATTTTGTCAACATTTTTATTATTTATTATTTTTATCATTATCACTTGATGATAGTAAAGGTCGTTTTGCTGAAGGTGATCAAATAGTGGTTGGCGTCGTATTTATAACATCTGTCTGATGTACAGGAGATTCACTGGATATTGAAGCTGTTGGTAGTATACATTTTTTTTTAAATTAACTACTTATGCATAAAATATGTTATAAAATGTTGATAATAATTTACTTGATGCTACAGGTCTACCAGGAAAAACTGATGGTACTGTTGTACTGGGTTGAAGTTTTAACTTACAACTGCCTCCTGGACTATCAACAAAATCTGTTTTTAAAAAATGGATGTTACATTGTTACATATTCGGCTAGACTTCTTCGGTATAAATCCATGACGATTTATAGCCAACAGCTATTTTTCCAAACAAATTCCATCATTGATTGGAAACCTAGAGTTATAATATTTAAAATTGTATTAAGATTTAAGGTAACTACTCTTGTTTCAAAACATAAAAAAATGTTTAATTGTACATACGTAAAAAAGTGGATATCGCTACCAGTACTTTCTCGAGATTTACAATTTGGAACGACACAACAAGTAAGCATTTTAAAGTTAGGTCAAATAAAATATAATTTAATTTACCCACGAAAATTATTTAATTTGTAGTTTGAACAATAGTAGTATATATCTGTGCTTTTAATTGTTTAATATATAAAATATATTTTATCGAAACTGTGATTTTTCAAATAATAAGATTCAAGAGTTTTGTTAAATAACTAATTACTTCAAAGTACTTGAATTTCATTTTTTTAGTTACTATATTTTATCAAATTTATTATAAATATGTTATATTATTAACAATGAAAAATGTACAAGCTATATTATTAAAAATGAAAAATGTACATGCAATTATTAATAACTGAGCATATTTAATGGGCAGGAATCACAGTGTTTTGTTGTAATTGTATTTGTAATGTTTTTATTACCTAAATACTTCAATAATAATATTAAAATCCACCAAAAGTTCAAAAGTTATCCAAGTTATCCAAATAATTTAACCAAATTTTGTGGATATCAAATAACCATAAAATTACATTTATTAAAGTGGAGATAGAAAATCATTTTGTTGTATTTAATTTTCCCAGGTATAATATATTTGGTTCAAAATAAGTATTTTTCATTTAGTAATATTTTTTTGTCTTTATTACTAAAGAAAGATGAAAATCACATGTATAAGTTTCCTGGAAAAAAAATAAATACAGATATACAATTCGATCAATTTAATTATTATTTATTGAAATTAGTTAGGTAGGCAGGTAAGTATAATTTTAAATTATACATTTTTATATTTTCACTAAATATTTAAAGTAGAATTTTAATATATAAAATATATTTCTTAATTAATTATTGTATTTAAATTTTAAATTTAAATTTTTTTAAATATAAAATATTTCATGGAAATGTGGCTCGTCCAATAATCAGTTTTCGAAATTTTCGTTACACAATAAATTAGGTACTACGAATAACTATAATTAATAATTAT